TGAATAGGAGAAAAAGCTGACCCTATAGCTACAAATACCAGAACACAGAGATCTAACTCATGTCCTCTGACAGAGACTGGCAAACTGTTAGGAAGAAAAACCTCCAGAATGTGGCCAAGCAGCCAGAAAAAACCTAGAACAACCATTTTACCCCACCTTTCTCCTTAAGAAGGATCCAAGGCAATTTTCATCATTAAAATATAATATTTGGAGCTAAAAACAATAAGTATACAAATACTAAAAAGGATCAAACAAATACAGTGGTGCCTCGCTTAACGATTACCTTGTTAAACAACAAAACCGCTTTACGATGAAGTTTTTGCGATTGCAAAATGATGTTCCTATGGGAAAAAATCGCTTAACGATGATCAGTTCCCTGCTTCTGCAACCGATTTTTCGCTAGATGATGATTTTAAAACAGCTGATCGGCAGCTCTAAAATGGCTGCCCACTGTGCAAAATGGCTCCCTGCTGTGCTTTAGGACGGATTCCTCGCTTTACAGGCACCGGAAAATGGCTGCCCTATGGAGGATCTTTGCAAAATGAGCAGGTATTTCACCCATTGGAACGCACTGAACCGGTTTTCAATGCATTTCAATCGTTTTTTAAATTTCACTTGACGAGGACTTCACTTAACAGCGATTTGAACGGAACGAATTATCCTCGTCAAGCGAGGCACCACTGTACTACACTTCTTCTTCTTCTTCTTCTTTTTCTTCTTCTTCTTCTTCTTCTTGTACACTAAATGATGGTGAAGAGGAGCAACATTTTTTAAAAAATACACATTCAAACCAGTAAGCACAAGAATCCATTTAAGTACCACACTCAGTCATTAAGGGGAAACTTGACTGAAGAGAAAGGTCTTTGCCTGCTTGCAGAAGGTCAGCAAAGATGGAGCCAGTCTGGCCTCTGGTGAGAGGGAGTCTGGGAGCAGCAATAGAGAAAGCCCTCTCTCATGTCCCCACCAAATGCACCTGTGAAGGTGGTGGGATTGAGAGAAAGACTTCTCCTGATTACCTTAACAGCCAGGCAGGCTCATAAACAAGTGTTGTGGTTCTTGAGATAGCTTGGACCTGAGCTGTTTAGAGATTTATAGGTTTGAACCAGCACTTTGATTTGTGTCGATCTCACATGGCGCTGCGGGCTAAACCGCAGAAGCCTGTGCTGCAGGGTCAGAAGACCAAGCAGTCGTAAGATCGAATCCATGTGACGGAGTGAGTGCCCGTCGCTTGTCCCAGCTCCCGCCAACCTAGCGGTTCGAAAGCATGTAAATGCAAGTAGATCAATAGGGACCACCTCGGTGGGAAGGTAACACCGTTCCCTGCCTAAGTCGCACTGGCCATGTGACCACGGAAGATTGTCTTCGGACAAAACGTTGGCTCTATGGCTTGGAGGCAGGGATGAGCACCGCCCCCTAGAGTCGAATACGAGTGGACAAAAATTGTCAAGGGGAACCTTTACCTTTACCTTTACCACATGGATCAACAGCCAGTGGAGCTGCTGTAACAGTAGGGTTAGGTGATCCCTTTGGCCAGCCCCAGTTAACAATCTAGCTTCCATGTTTTGGACTTGCAGAAGTTTCTGAACATATTCTAGAAGCAGTCCCACGTAGAGCGTGTTCTTTTAGCAAATGCCTACCAAACCCTTCCTCCTCTTCCCACAAATAGCAGGAAACAGAGTGATCTCCTTTCTGCCCTTCATTTCCAGCATGCCTTGCTGCAATGTTTAATGGAGACCACTTACTGTGAAGACTTGAATGGGGAGGGAGAGGAGATTTAATGGGATTTGGTTCAAGTGCCGAATCTGATCAGAGTGTTTGGCATGTTCTAAGGAGTGAGGAGGACTTTTCTCAGATGAGACTGAGTGGTAGACTTTTTATCAGATAGTTCTTTCGGCATTTTAAAAATGTTTCTTTTTCTTTGCTTGAGAGATGCTGCTGTTTGGATGCAACTTAACTAGTAGGAAATTAACAAGAAGTGTGGCCATAGATCCATTTATGGCATGCCTCTTTTAGGACAGGACATATGACTAACTGATACTTTTAGCGCTTGATAATAAGCATTGTAAATCTTGTCCCTCCCTCCCTTTTTAACAAGGTTTCCTGGTTTCAGTGATGTCTGTTTTGATAGAACATATTGAAGATAGTGTTTCTAGGGTTGACTGATTTTTTTCACAACATCCTATTTCCTGTTCTTCACACATGTTTCCTGTACTTCACTTTATCTCCATTTTCTCCTGTTTAAATTTCACATCTGCCTGTGTGTTCAGAATATGAGTGTCTCCCTCCCCCTCCCCAGCTTTCTGAACTCAAGGGAGGACCTGGAGAGGAGAGAATTACAGGAAGGGCTTTGCAGGAGGACTTGTCTTTTAAAGACAAGAATGGATAGATGTAAAAGGAGGATATGGGAGAGAGTTGCTGAGCCTTCCCTTTCCCCATATTGTCTGTTCCAAGGCTTCTTCTGCACTCCTGGCTGTGATGGTGGAAGCAATCAGAAAAAAATGCCTGTGGCAGTGGATTTGAAAGTGTCAGTAGGGAAGAATGATACTTTAGTTTTTATTTAACTGTGAACTGACCTACTTTGCACTTGCCAAACTGTTCCATGAATCAGAATACAATTGTCTTTTGCACTTCTCCACATTTTGTGATGCTGGTCTCTGGTTTTTAAGAAATGCATTATGTTAAGGAGGTTTGCAGAGATCAGAAGTACGTAGCTGGTTAAAAGTAACACCATTGCCAGCAACTATTTACTTTGGAGGTAACAAGGTTCAGATTTCAAAAATAACAGAGTTACATTTGGGTCCAACAGATAATCTTTTCTAATTCTTTTGATTTTAAGGCTTTTGACATAAATTTTCTAGATTTTAAGGTATTCTTTTATCAATCCTCAGTATTTGTTTAGTTTTTCATATTTCTGTACGTGTTTTATGAGTGCAGTAGCAGGATGGGTTGTTATGAGCCATCAGATTGATTCTGATTTATGGGAAACCTCCCAGGTTTTCTACATATAAAGTATTCAGAAGTGGTTTCCCATTCCTTCCTGATAGCACTTTGGGACTGTGCAGTTTGCCCAAGGCTTCAAAGGGGGCATGGCATATAACCCCATTGACTACACATGCTTTGAGTAATCTTGGTTATCCCTTCTTTTAGTAGATGCAGTGGGGATTTGAACTCCTAACCTCTGGATCTGCAGACAGTTACTCAGACTGATACTAAAGGGAACAAAACAATATTTTGCTGTATTTTTCTGGTCTGCTGATAATGACAAGGCAAGACATTAATAACCCACAGAGTGACAAACTATCTTTGCTAACAAAGGAGAGATAATGATAATGCTGGTCTGGTTTCCCCACAGTAATGAGTAATACAACCAGTTTCCTTCAAAAAATAATGTTTTGGAAGTTTGCAAATACAAATGAACATATTCAAGAAAATTGTATCAAAAAGTACTATACAAAATTGCACACAAAAAGCTATATCTTAAGCGATAATTATATACACACACACTTTCTCTCACACATGTACATAAAGAAAATAAATCATTTGTGAAGTCCTGTCTATTATGGGAAATGGCTACAAAATAATATGCACATTTTCAGATCAGATTTTAATTTTTTTTTAAAAAATCACAAATCGATATGAAAATCAGTGAAACAAGTGTGCTTCAAAAATTGGAAAGCAGTAGAAAACAAAGCTGATGAGTTTGCCTTTCCTTAGATGTACGGCAAGGGATAAGTAAGGTTCAGGGTCCTTCGTTACACATTATTTTTGCTTTCAAACCAAGTTTTACACATGAAAAAGCACAAAACCCCCCACCGGTCTACCATTGTTCTTCTAGTTTGTCTTTGAGAAATAGACAACAATAATCTCTGTCTCCATGTAAGAAAAAAAATTAACACCTAAGGAGATTTTAAAGCTTATATTTTCAAATGGATCTTGCTTAAAGACCTAACTGCACATTTCTTTAAATGTATTGCTTGAAGCAGTATTAGCATTTTGTTTTGTTTTTTTTAAAACTCATGTACAGACCCCATCATACCCCGATCCATATTGCACTACAGCAGACAAAGGGTAGAAGTTTAATCCTTCCAAACCCACAGTGCTTCGGGGGGGGGGGGAAGCACCTATACCCAATCATGGTAAATCATAATATTTAAAAAATTCCAAATGACACCAACGAGATTTGCTTAAAAAAACAACAACAATTGCTCTTTAGATGAATTTTACAGGATTGTTAAATCTCTCCTCCCCATATGCATGGTGATAGATGTCTTTTTCAGTAATTACATAGGAATATGACTGCTTCAAGAAAGACATTACAAGTAATATGTAGTTAAAGATGTGCATCCTGAAAGTTCTGTATGCTATGAGCTGCTTTTCCCCAGGAGAGCCTACACCATCTCTCTGTGGGCTCTCCACTGGAACAATATAGGCACATGCATTTTGTGCATCCTGACTCCTCTTATAGTTTAGAAGTCATACATTGTTACAAAGTGGTGCAATCCAGATAGGAATATAAATCTGTTTGCTGGATGATGGTGTTCATAGCTTGGCCATGCATATATCATTAAATGACGACACCCTCATAAATGAATATTGCTTTTCTGAAATTAAATGAGGTACAGAGATTTACCTCAGGTACTGATCTGCCAAACCACTTTTAATCTATTTAATAAATCTTCAGATGCAATAGGGCTCCTTTACAGCATACCAGTTTTGTAGCAAAACAGCAGCTGTTATTCTCAGTCATAAGAGACAATTATAACGTCCAGGCTACTTCCCTGACTAGTGGCTTCTTTTGGATGTGGGGTATGACCACATTAACCAAAGGAAGTAAAGTCATTGCTGGTTTTAGACTTTTTCCTACCACATCTTTAAAATACCTTTTTCTTAACATGTGTTGTTAACTACAATAATTTTAGACAATGTCAAAAGGATTGCAACTCTTCAGTGCACTGTGTTAGTATTCTAATGGTTTTCTTTGGTCTTTTCTCGCACATGAGATGGTCAACCATGTCCTGTTGTCCTTTGGGATCCTTCGTTGGCTAAAACAGACAGTGAGACACACTCTTCACTGAAGCTCAACTGGGGACTTTACCAGCAACAACTAAGGCAGAAGTGTTGGCAAAATGGCAGAGTGCCCAAAGCAGAGTGGAGGTGTACAGATGTGCATCACTTTGAGTGGTCCAAGATGGCAGTCCTTGATTTTCTATTACAGGTGAGGTAATTATATCCAAATGTACTTGCTTTCAGCATGGCATATTAAAACCAGGATCTCACATTTCACTATGGTAGTATAAAGGCCCCTACCCACCCAGTGTGGGGATTCATCTCTCACATAAACAGTTGCAACCATCCTTCTGAAACTTAACAGAGTTCTTATTTAGGGTCACCTCTGGGGTATCCATGGCCCACAAGAGGTGTACAGGGATAGGGGTGTGGTTTTTTTTGTGGCTCATCTCTATAGGTAAACCCTGCCCCTGGGCAAAAACGCCTGCCCTTGTACAAAACTACCTGAAACTTGACAGTTTTTCAAATACCCTTGGCATTTATTTATTTATTCATTTATTTGAGTTATAGGCCTCTTTTCTTCTAAAACTGGAACTCATCACAGCTTGCTACAAGATTAGTTAGATAACACATAAACCCACAAAATTTTACAATCCTGAGGTAGAACTGAATTTTAAAACAATGTTAGTAAAGAAAATACAGAACCCACTCATTAATTTTTCCTCACATCTGTCAAGAAATTTTAAAAAACTTAATTATTGGCAGTTTCCTTTTCAAAATTTTGAAATTGTAATGGACCTAGGCAAAAATCCCTTGCACTTATCTATCTAGCATTTGCTTGGTGTTCTCTTCTAAGGGGCTATTATCCTTGCAAATATCTTTCAGTTTTGACAAGAGAACAAAAGTTGTAAATGTTGTTGGCTTCCAGTGGGAAGTGTAAGTATACAAATTTTTTGCCATTTTCGAGTGGGAAGCATAAGCATATACATTTCTGCATCAGACAGTCACAGAGGTTGTCCAAGATGTACTCAGTCATTTTCCAGAAATGGGATCTAAATTGTACCCTATAGTTGGTTCACATACCTAGGACAAATTACCATGGTTATGTTTCTTCAACCTTTTGGGAGAACAGAAGTAGGAAGGAAGGAAACAAAACCAGGATGTCTATATGCATAAGGGATCTATTAGCTTTTAATTTTTACAAAAGGTTAGAAAATAAGTGAAAATAAGCCTTGGGTCTTGTAAAATACAAATCCTTGTGCAATTATATAGTTGCAAGGGACTTCTGAGATCATTGATATACTTGATTCTTTAAAAAGGGATTGCCCATTTGTGGACTGTGGGTTTTGTTTTTATTACTATGAATTGCACAACCTCTTGCCTAAATCCAATAGAAAGTAAATAGCTGAGCTGAGATTTGAACGAGGGACATCTAACTCACATCCCATGTTCCCCTTCTCACAAGTTACATTCATGCTCCATAAATAATAAACAATTATGACTTAAAGGACCGATAAATGGTTGTGATGTTCCATGTTCACACATATTTCAGTGGCTTCCTATAATTCTCTGAGGCAGCTTTAAAAAACATTGTTCATTTTATTTTGGTGATCATTTTCAGATCCATCACCGCTTGGACAAGAACTGTTGTGGGTTCAAACCACGGAAGGAGGATTCCTGTGTACAGAATGGACTGAGTGGGAATTGTGATGACCAGGATAATATTGCTTTGACTCACATTATCCAGAGAAAAGATGACCCAAAGCATTTGGTTTTTATAGACAATAAAGGTTTCTTTGACAGAAGTGAAGACAATCTGGATTTCAAAATATTGCAAGGCATAAATGAGTAAGTTCCATGAAATACGAAAAAAATGCATAGAAGAGGTCTGCATGTTTTTTCAACTGTGAAACTTTTAAAGGCCATTTCTATGAAGGAGGCAGTGTTGTTGTGTTATTGCTCTTGAACCTCACTTCACTTCTTGACCCCAAAGGCCCATCTTAAGCAACCAGGGTTCCAGCAGTGTGGAAGCCTCCATGGGCATTTTCCGTTCAGGAAATTGTGGTTAGGGTCAGAGGTATAGTCCCTCAGTCACATTCAGGATCAGATCTACTATTAGTAACAGTGAGGTGCTTGCCTCAGACAGCACATAGTTAGAGAAGGCAATAAGGGGGTTGTATTCTGTGTGCTATACAGTCTGTCCTGGGCTTCCTAAGCTAGCCTGCTGCCCTCAAGTGTGATAGAGCAGTGGTTCTCAACCATTAGCTCTCCAAATATTTTAACTTTATTTCCCAGAAGCTGCAGTCATCATGGTTAATGGTCAAAGAGTTGATTTAGATTCTCAAATATTTGACAAGCCAAAAGCTAAGAACTTTAGTAAAGGATGATAGCACCCCATTACCAGTGTTAAAGAGAGATTCAGCTACCAGTCCAATCAATTATGGATGTGGAACTGTTTTCAAAATGTCTTGTGTTATCTCTTGCTTTTTCTACCCAAAATCGTATGTATGTAGCCGCCCCGAGTAGACATGGTCTAGAGGGGTGGGGTATAAATAAATAAATAAATAAAGAAAGAAAGAAAGAAAGAAAGAAAGAAAGGGATCTGGAAATCACCTCTTAAGCTCCCAGACAGAGACATGGGACACAAATGAGGTTAATTTTCAGCTCACACAGAAATAAATCTGTAAGTCTACAAAGTGCTAAAACTCTTGTTTTTCTTATCAATATAGTAGTAATTTATTTACATGAAAGAAGTACATTTGGTGGAATTTCCCATGTGTAAGTGTGTGTGTGTGTGTGTGTGTGTTTGTTGAACTTTTATACCGCACCATCTAGTAGTCTTGCCACTACTATGGTCAGTTTCCAGTAAAATAAAAATAAACAACCAAATCCCACCCAATTCAAAAATATAAAATAAAAAAATATAATATAAAAGGACAACAGGTCTAAAAATCAAGATGGCAGCAAGGGACAAAAAGATTACAAGAATATAATAGTTAAAATAAGACTAAATAACCAACAATTCGGAGGGGAGGTTATACTGAAATGCCTCCCTGAAAAGCAAAGTTTTTATATGCTACCTGAATATTAAGAGGGAAGAGGTCTGATGTGCCTCCACAGGTCGAGCATCCCATAAAAAGGTGGCCAACGCAGAGAAGGCCTGGCTCCTCATTGTAGGCTTTTGGACTTTCCTTGGGGTGGTCACCTGCAGCATCATTACTAGGGAGGTGGCATGGGAAATTGATCAAAGGGAGATTATTTACTGGGATGGACTCATATTTGGGCATGTGCAGTAGCTGGTAGAAGTGAGCCCCTCCTTCCCACTTCAGCCTGTGAAATGGCTGGGGGTGCAAGAAGACACTGTCCTTGAGTGAAGCCCTTCTGTTCTAGTCCATGGCCTGACTCTGATTTCAACCCATTGACATGATTTCACTGCCACAAGAAAAGAATGATGTGGAAAAATGGACATTAATTGAAATCCTGTTGTGCGGTTACACAAACAGCATAACTTTTGGAAGTGAATTGCCATAAGCTAAGACATTTCTGTACACATTATCCATTGCATACTCAGTCACACAACTTGGTGTATAATAATATCTACAGAGATTTCTTAGCTTTTGGCAGTTTACACCTACACTATTTGCATAATTGTACAACAGGATTTCAGCCAGTGTTATACCACAGCTCCAGAAATATTGATATGAATTTATTCCAATTGAATTTGTTTGTTCACTTTCAGGTTCCCTGAATCTGCTATCTCTGTGTTGAAGAGCCATCGTTTGAGAGAAAAACTTCTTCAGTCTTTGTTCCTTGACAGAATTTTTTGGGATAGCCAAGGTGGTCGCGGGGTTATTGAAAAATTAATTGATGTGATTGAACAGAGGGCCAGAATTCTTCTCACCTATATTAATGCACATGGTACAAAAGTGATCCCAATGAATGAATGATGCTATAATTTTACGCATACTCATCTGGGAGTAAGCCAGACTATATACTTCAGGACTTACTTCTAAGTTAATGGTTCCTAACCACCAGTAACCCAGGTGTTCTTGCAACTCCCAGAAATCCTGGCCAGCACAGCTGGTGGTGAAGGCTTCTGGGAATTGCAATCCAAGAACCCCTGGATTATCCAAGGTTGGGAACCAATGTTCTAAATGAATATGCAATTGATTTTCGTGGAAATGAGTAGATAAAATAACTGAGCTCTAATGAAAAGACTTGGGCTTTTATGAACTGAATAAGAAAGCCTGCATAGATAGACATGCACCTGTTGTTGATATTTTTTGAATTCAATTTTATACATATTGAACTCAGTGGCAATTAGTTCTGAATAGACATTTATAGCATTGCACTATTAATTCCCAAAGCACAAATACTAAAACTAACCATTTTGAACTAAGTATTTTATTATCCAAGATAGCAACATTTCATACTACTTGTTTTACAAATCATACATATTTGTTCCCATCTTGGAAAATAAACACTAGATCCAAATTAACGTTTGTGTAGTTAGAATGGCAGAGGTGAAGTTCCTTACCAATCTTCTCCATGGCTGCCCCTCAAGCTCCCTGAAAATATTACATACAGAACCTATTGAATAGGTTATTTTCTGTGAGTGTAGCTCTATTCATGTAAAGTGAGAGTCCTGTTCAACAGTCCCTCTGATTCTACAAGATCCCTTGATCCTCTATGTAGTATTTTCAGGGGACTGAAGAAGGAAAGTCTGTCTCTACCAGCCTACTTGCACATCCATAAATATAAACCCAACCCTAAAGAACACAGTCGATTTCCCACCATTTCTTGAGTTTCAGCAGGAATAAGCTTGCTCACTTTGGGAGACACTTTCTGCAACATATGACCAAAAGTTGCAGCTTGCAAGACAACGTACACTAGGTTTGTTCTGCACTGAGTAGTTTCCAGGACTGCTGCAATACTTGCTTAAAGAATATATTTATACCGGGCCTTTTTTTTTTTTTTTGGTTAATTTTGGAGTGTGGATGATCAACTTCTGCTGTTGAGTTTTTTGAGCTTTGCTCTCAGATTGTTGAGCAAATAAAGAGCAAAAACTCTTATAGTTAGTAACATGTTACATTTCTAATAAGGAATGTAGCTTTGACAGGATTAAGCAGATATTTAGTGGGAATGTTACAGTATTTGCTTGCTGTGTTTTGTCAGTAATTGTACACCTTAATTTTTTTCCCTTCCTTTTTGTGGGCTCATTCTAATTAGTCTCTTCCCATCCTCAGTTTCCTTCTCTCCTCTGTAAGTTCCATTAATTCAAATGGGTCTACTCTCAAGGCTCTTTAGGTGCCAACATTTTCTTCAGGTCTCTCATTCATATTTCACTGCCTGCTCTGTACCCTTCATTGAGTTTTCTCACCTATATATTCTCTCTTCTCAACTTTACTGCATCCAAAGACATTTCTCCAGCCTTCAGCTTGCCTATTGGGTTTTTAAATTCCATTCATGTTTATACATTTCCTTCCCTTATTACAGGAACTCTATTGTAGATGTATTTTTGCCAAAGCCATTGTATAACCTGTTCCCTCAACCCAGCCAGTCACTGTTAGAGATGAAATTGCCATCGGCACTATACAGTATATTCTGTTACAAATTGCCTGTGGATTATTTCTTTCATAAAGTCCATGTAATGAGTAATTGAATGGTCTATCTTTGCTCTGCCATTCACCCAATGAAAATGTGTTTTTTCTCCCAGTGTATAAAACACTGACTTTGTCATTGTGACTTTGGACTTGAGTCATATTTTGGTTGAATGTTCTGCAACATTATACCTTATGGCTTTGAAAGCATTCCTTTTGATTATCACATTCTGAAGAACTCTGATTGAAACCAAACTTTAAAGGGGCACAAAGATCTGTCAGGATCACAAAATCACACAAAGATCAGAAACTTAAAAGGGTCATGAAGATCAATATTGTCACTAGTATGAAAACATGAACGTAATGCTTTTTAGATCACCTTGTTAGTTTGTAGGTTTTGGTTTCATGGAGAGGTTGGGGACTAAATCCAGCTTCATTCCTCAATTGGATTAGATCCATTAAATCAGTGGCCAAAATCCTGTTGCGTATTGTAGTAAATTGTGCTAGAGTAGGTCCAATGGGGATTGGTGACTCAACTACTTTGTAAGTTCCATTGATTCAAATGGGCCCTCTCTAACTGTAGCTTACAGTTCTATCACAATAAGTTGCAACTAGAGTAACCTTATATGAATCCATGGAACATATGGAGGAGTTGACTTACCAAATCCTGATTGATTCAATGGGTTTATTTGAGTGCAATTTACTAAGCAACAGTATTTTTCCTAATGGGATTTAACATTAGTGTTGATGTAAAGTCTCATTTGTTCAATAAGTTTACTTTATTTGGGGTGAACAATTGTATTTAGCCCTTTATCTCCACCACTATTTGTTTAACCTCCTAATAGCAGTTTAAGTGTCAAGTGGCCCTGCAAAGAATCCTGAAATTTATTATTTGATGAGAAAGCTGAGTATTCCTTTACAGAGATTTCCCACTCAGAAAACAACGGTTCTCACAGTATCCGGAGAGGATGGGAATTAATCGACATATGATATGCCCTTTCAGAATCTCATCCACTTGTGGGTGTTCCTTACTCATAAGTCATGCCTGGAATGCCATTGATTTGATGATCCAGCTGGAATTAGTGGGAGTGCTTGCAAGAAAAAAACTGAAGTGAGCTTTCAAGTGAAAGTCTAAAACTAAATGGACAAAAATTATAATACTAACTAACATTTTCAAAATAGCCTTTCATTTATCTTGCTTGCCCATTTAACATGTGAAGATTATACTCCTGCATTTAGACATGGGGCAAGTTTTGCTCTGAATGTGAATCTTGAACAACTCATTTCAAGATTGAAATATTTCTTTGTCCTGATCATTTTCACATCTGTAAATCCAATTTTGTTGGTTTATATGCTCCGTAGTGAGAAGCCTGTGCCTAACCAACACTTCCCGTGGGCATTTATATGCTGTTTCCCAACCCACCTTGACTATCAAGCAAGAATGACAACTAAATCGCCCTGGCTTTTAGAACAGTTGAGGGATCAAGGATTTTTATTACATTCTGGGAAATAGGACAAGCTAGATTAAGAAATAAAGTCTTTCTTGGCAATTCAGAAGCTATGTCCACTTGTCTTCTTCACTTGTAATCATCTGTCCTAGGCTATTTTCCTTTTTGGGGCATATAGGATCAGACATCACGTTCCAGGCTAGTCTGAAGAGAATAGCTTAGGAATCCAAGGTCTGTGTGTGGGAGAAATGTGTTATGAAGCATGTCTTGTGAAAAAATGACGTGGGGGTGGGAGGAAGCTTCTGGGTAAGATGCCAAACTATTAACAATGCTGAGTGTTTTCCAACTTATACAATCAAATCTGAGAATATGTATTTACACACTGAGGAAACTTATTTTTCCAAGGGTTCTTTGGCTACAGGTATGAAATCAGCTCTTTTCAGATCTTCATTGTACTACTCTCTGTTTCCCCTTTCGGATAGATCTTTTGCCTCCCAGATAGCTCCTTTCTCCCTTCCTCTATAACTAAACCCTGTCAAGCAGTTAAATTGTCAGTTTTTAGATTAGGCATCCTTCAGTTTCGAGAGACTATGGTATCGTGCTCTGTATGAAGGACTTGGAACAGCATCTAGTGTGGCTCAAAAGGCCAATTCGAGAGTGACAATCCCTTCCACACTGAAGACAAATACAATCTGTACCCCGTCTAGCTCCCTGATTTTGCTGCTTTCATGACTGCCTCTTTGCCTCAGCCTGCTGGACAAGTGTCTCTTCAAATTGGGAGAGGCTATGATGCACCACCTGCATCCAGTCTGAAAGCTCAGATGTCAGGGTTTCCCATCTGTTGAGGTCCATTACTAAGGCCTTCAGATCTGGCTTGCAGATATCCTTTTATCGCAGCTGTGGTCTGCCTCTGGGGCAATTTCCCTGCACTAATTCTCCTTACAGGAGATCTTTTTGAATCCGACCATCAGCCATTCTTACAACATGCCCAAGCCAATGTAGACATCGCTGTTTCAGTAATATATACATGCTAAATATTCCAGCTTTATCTAGGGCTACTCTAGTTGAAACTTTGTCCTGCCAGGTGATACCAAAAATGCATTGGAGGCAACACATATGGAATGTGTTCAGCTTCCTCTCCTGCCGTGCACAAAGGGTCCAGGACTCACTGCAGTACAGGAGTGTGCTCAGGACACAGGCTCTATAGACCTTGATCTTGGTGTACGCCATCAGCTTCTTATTGAGCCATACTCTCTTTGTGAGTCTTGAGAACATGGTAGCTGCTTTACCAATGTGTTTATCCAACTCGACATTTAGGGAGAGAGTGTCAGAGATCATTGAGCCATGGTGTTCTAAATCTTCTCCTCTTAGCTGATTGATTGTTGATGTGTTGCCATAGGATTTACTTGGATACCTTCCGAAAGCTGTTCAGTTGACATTGTCATTACAGTAATTTCAGCTGTATTTAATTCAATAAATAATAATAATCATGTACCATCAAGTCAGTTCTCACCTCTGATGACCTCTTTCAGGATTTTCCAGGTAAAAGATACTCAAATATCAGTAGAAGCCACTCAGAAGTGGTTTATCATTCCATTCTTCTGGAGGAGCTATTGGACTGTGCAGCTTGCCCCAGGCCACACAGATCAGCTTTACCTGCAGGAGGCACAGTGGAGAATCAAAGTGCCAGCCTCTAGCTCTGCAGCCAGATACCTAAACCACTGAACTATCTAGTCAGCTGTATTTAATTTAGGATGGACAAATATGCCATTTTCATATTATGACACAGTGAAATTTTATGGATTTTGATAAACTATAGTTTAAAACAAATGAAGTGAAATTCTCATCCACAAATAATTTATGATTATGGTCTAACACAGTATTTCCTTCTACACACACTGGTCAGAATCCTACTGGTAGTTTCAACTAGAAAAGATTCATTGAATCAGTGAAATGTATATCTGTTAACAGCTCATTCAACAGTTGATTCAATATGTATACCAAGCCAGAGTTGGAAGGTTACTTGCCCCCTGTGTCTCCCAAGGGAGGGATCAGCCAAAGCATGTATGGCTGGTGAAGTCAAGTGCTTCACCACCTGTTCAGACCTGAGCAGTTTCCATGGTCGCAGAATGCCACTAGAAGGTGCGACTAGTAAATCTCTGTAGAGTACTTTATACCTAGAAAATTCTGGGATTGTCACTATTAAGTCCAAATTGACTTCATAAAATCATCATCATCACAATCAATTGCTGTATTTAATCAAAGAGTACAGTATACTGTACAGGCATTTTGTTCACAATAACAATGTA